GAGACACACACACACAAATCTATACACGTAACACTACATCCATCAAAAATGGCTTGTTCACTGCTAATCCAGGTGATATGTAATCCCAGTCTCCTCCACATTGATATAGAGCTGTGCACTTTAAGGAGCCTTTTTTTTTTAATCTCCACCAGGTATATTGACGGGTCTGTTTTCTTGTTTGTTTTTTAAGATAATTTTTTGGGACTTTATTGCTTTTATTAGGTATTAATAGTGACAGCTCAAGAGTGACATGAAATTTGGGAGAGAGAAAGAGGGGGCAACATGCAGCGTTGTGCTATCGTTGCAGGTTGGAATCGTACCTAAGTAGCTATGGTACGGCCTTTGTACATGGGGCATGTGCTCAACGAGCTATCATGACTACTCTGCTTTATGGTAAATTGACCTGTACTTGTATGGTGCCTTTCTAGTCTTCCGACCACTCAAAGCGCTTACGCTACATGCCACATTCGTCCTTTCACACACATTCACACACACAGTGATGGCAAAGCCCATTAAACCGAAAATAACTCATTAATTTACATTCCCACATTGATGCACAGCATCGAGAGCAATTTGGGGTTCAGTGTCTTGCTCAAGGATACTTCAACATGCAGTGGGAGGAGCCGGGGATCAAACCAACAACCTTCCGATTAGTGGACAACCCACTCTACCACCGAGGCCGATATACTGCCATTTACTGCTGATTCATCACTCCTCTTAACAGGCTGAAAGGGGCACAGTAGCTGCCACATTTTGGTCATGGATTAAAACATCCATAGAAAAGTTTGTTCTCATCTTCAGTGGGAGCCCCTGCAAATTTATTAGACACCCAATATGTTATGATCTATAAGTGGTGTCAGTCACTGCTTATGCACGTGCCTCTTTGTGCTCAGAGACAGCAGGTCTCTGAGCACAAAGAGGCACCACTCAATCCAGCAGACTCCATACCATGAAGTCCAAGAGCTGTGAAAAAGGCAGAGATCGGGGTCTTGGGGGACACCCAAGACCATGAAAGCTACAGTGTGAAGTCGGGAAGACTGTCAGCTTGTGTCTTATCGTTGCAAGCTGCTGAGGGAGAAATTAGTTGCCCACCAGCCGCGTCCACAGTTGGCAGGTAGGTAGAGCTGGCCACAGCACTTCGAGGCACTTAGCCGCTCAGCATTCAAAGTCAATCAAGGCCAGTGTGGTGCTGTCCATCTCGTCGAAAGATTTCCAGCCCAGAGAATCTGGATATATGCTCCTCCCATCCTCTTGCTTCAACATCCCCTTCTGAGAAACCTCCTGAAGCGGCAAGAGACAGTTCATCTTGGACATTACACCTAGTGGTATATTATCCATGTTGACTGTGAAATCGACTGGGTCTTCATCCATTCCTCCGTACTGAGTGGGAGGGCGGATATTGTCCATCTGATCTCCCCATGACTGTGCCACCCTGCTTCCATAATCTGCTCTGTGAAGTTTCAACTCCATGGGGGACTCATGTTTCATGTTTCAGACAGCAGAGGATCTCCACGGGCAGCTGAGCTTCCCAGCACCTTGAGAAAAAATGCCACGCCTTTCCAGGGCTGTCTTCCAGAGTCAGTGACAGTGCACACAGGACTCCAGGCTAGCAAGTGCAGCTTTCATGTGCAACATGCCAATACAAACCGGGTCGTACATATATCTCAGAGAGGGAGAAGCAACACGTGCTCCGGCATTGACGATACTTGAGTTTCCTAGCCACGCTAGCCTTGCTAGACCCACTAGGAGAGCCCTTCTTCTTCTATGGAACCAATCTTTTTTTTTTTTTAGAGTTAGCTAACTAAACATGCAAGTCATTAGCAATGCTAAACAGTGTGGGAATGGCCTGTTTGTTAGAGATGCCAAACAAATCTCTGTTAGTTAGGCTAAACAACAGAGAGCATGGCTAGTTAGCAAGCTAAACAAGCACATTGTGCCAGGTGAAGGCGGGGCTTACCCTGCTTGCAACAGTCTCATTGGCCTGGACAGGAATGTTGAAAGAGTTTCTTAAGGTTGGTCTCGCGAGGGTGTCCAATCCCCATACTTGCGTGTTACCGAAAAGGGAACTCCTAGTTGATTCTGTGTGCAAAAGTTTAGACATGTCACATTTTGAAAGCATAGAGGCCTAGGTTAATAGGTATGAGCTCAGATCTTGAGCAAAGACAGTGTTAACTTGTCTTAACCCGGACCTCGTTGACCTCATAGCTGTTTACAGCCATGCAGTCAAACTCCAAAATTGCTGCATTCTACAATAAAACTTGACACATCTTTTCATTAGACTTCTCCTTCTTCCCTGTTAAAACCCATGTTTGTAATGCATGCTTTATGTTAAAAGATTTTATGTTTTAAGCGAAATCCCTATATATGCGTATATTATTTTCTCAGACTTAGGAAAGCTCCCCCAGAGCTGCAGGCAACATAGTAGCCCCTTAAAATATAATGTGTTTTTTATTTTTTTCTATTATATTATAAGGGAAATTAAAAATGTTATGTTGTTTTAATACCCTGTCTGCATGTATAAAAATATACTGGGATAAGTTACGCAGAGGTTAAGTTTGTGCTATATTCACATTTTCTACTTTTGATGGTGAGGACTAACCGCTGAGTTTGTTAAATGTAACACTATAGTAGTATTAGTCTTATTGCAGCTTTAGCATGTAGAGAAATCTAAAGCTGGACAGGCCTTCAGTGCCAAGTTATAGCTGCTAATATATGATATGAAAGGTCATTTGATTAACAACAAATCAGCTAACACAAGCAGGCAACCACAATTTCTTAGTAACTGAGTAGCAATGGCTTCACCATCTACCAGCTAACAATCCTTATATTTGAGTGATGAAGAGGTTAGTCGGGACTTCAGACACAAACGTGTTTATGGTTTTATGAAAATCTGGTTCTGCTGTTTATCAATGTTTTGTGTGGTACCAGATTTATGATCTTCCTTCTTAATGGGATTAATGATACTTTTGTATCCACACAGGTCAGCCATCTGTTTGACAATGAGGGCACTGTGGCTTTTGCTATGTTCATGGCAATCTGGGGTAAGTGTCTGACCTGATCTAATCAGATGTATTGTGATGTCTAATCTAATCTAATCTAATCTAATCTTAATGTGATTTGTTGTGATGTGGAATACCTCTTGAACTGCCTGTCTATGTTTTTGCAGCCACTCTCTTCCTGGAGCTGTGGAAGAGACACAGAGCCAGACATGTTTCTCAGTGGAAGGTCTATGACTGGTGTGAGGAAGAGGTACTGCTTTCTGCCTAAACTCACAGATCATACTGTATCTTTGACTAAAGAAAGCATCTAACTGTAGTTATCTGTAGTGTTGTGTTGCACCCCACTAATGGAATCCCTACAATTAGATAATAAGACAATAAGATTTCCTTAGTCAACTAGTAGTTGTTAAATAAAGCCAATAGTTGTAGCACTTTTATGATAATTAAATTATTTGAATATATAGATTTTAATAGCTGCCTGTTAAATAATAATGGAAAAAGCAGTAATGATTATGAATGTGTCAGAACAACCAACAAAGAGACTGAACATATACTTAATTTATTTCAAGTCTTGTTGTTCAAAAATAATATATTCAAAAATATTGTTATATTGTTAATATATACTAAAAGAGTATCCACAATATCCATTGAATATACACTAAAACAATATCCATTGAATATGCGGTAAAACACATGAATTTCCAAAACTATATAAAATAAAGTCAGAACTTCCAAGATCTGTTCCTCTTTTCGTCTCTGTCATTTATGATGTGTTTTTAAATGTATATTTTACATTGCCAGAATCCTTGACCTTTGCGTTTACATGAATCCCATTGTCTTTATTTGATATATTTGATTGATTGATATTAAATAATATTAACAGAATATTACAAATAAGTTTGTAGCTGCAAGTTTTGTTCAAGCTAATTATCAGCTAATCATAACCAAATTACAGCCAATATTTGCAGTCAAACCAAATGAAAATTTTTCATAGAAAGTCCATTTCTCAAGACAGTCCTCTGCTTGCTACAGCTGTTGATATAACACTTGATTCCTAGACACAAAGTCTTTGTAATATACCTTTAATGTGTGAGTTGACTGTCAGTCTGTGCATGTGTTTGTTGACAGGAAGAACTGATTCTGGAAATAGTCAATGATCCACACTGTACACCGAAACAGTTCAGACACTCCTACCTGCACAGCACTCTGGTCCTCATTCTGGTAACACTTATGGTAAGAGACACACAAACACACAGTTTGTCATCTGAGACCTAAAAGTCAGTATGTTGTTTATGGAATTTGGTGGGTGTGGTATTATGTAGCATATTCTAAAGCACTACCTGATTCAGGGCAAGAATGTTCCTCAGGAAAGGCCTGGGAGGAAATTTGCATAGTTCACTGACTACTGACTATCACAGAAACGTTACCTGTGAAAAAATAAAATTGCTTCACATCCAAAAGATCTGACACACTCAACTGGTGCTGATTTAATTGTTGTCTACACTGGATAAAGATTTAGCAATTGATGGCTTTATTATTATTTACTGTTCAGTTGCCCCAGGAAAAGGAGTGGTGTGGTGATCGATGTTAAATCTAGTCTTGCTGTACAGGTCTTGCGTTCTAAATCGCCTGTTAAGCAAATGCATGATTTTAAAGCTTAATGTTGACTCTTAAGCTTTCACAAATCATTGACAGCCCCATACATCTTAACACTAGATATTTAGAAAAATTATCTAATTTTGATCTTTTAATTTCTAATATGCCCAATAAATATTCTGCAACAAGGGTATTGGCTCATGACCTAAGTGATCACTGTGTGGTTGGTGCTAATAGGGACATCAAAATGTATTAAGCCCATCTTGTTCAGAATAGAAATCTTAATCTCCAGACAAGACCAAGATTACAGAGGGTTTGTAATTTTATACTTTATTGCGTAAAAAAAATAAAAACAAAAACATTAAGGAACAGCTTTGATGTGGGCATTTTGTTTCTCAATCCAGTGCAGAGCTATTTAATTGTAAAGTGTATACATTGGATTGATTTTAATAACTTTAATGTAATTGAAGTCTGCGCTGTCTAATAAAAATACAAGTATTGAATTGGGACTCTGTATTGGCTGCTATGGATCGGGGGCTAAAATTCTATGATTGTGGCATCCCTAGTTGTAGGACCTGTCCTTTTCACGATTTATGCAAATGATGTGGGTCAAAATATGAATGCATCTTTACATCTTAATGCCGACGATACTATTGTATTTCAGTATTTGTATTTCACATTCAGTCCCACTTCTATCGCAGAGTAGTGTTAAATCCAGACAAAACCAAGGCTATGTTCTTTTCTAAAAATGAGAAGCTACCAGCTGTTCTTTCCTGCATCTTGTCTGCAGTAGGTACTCCCATTGAGATTGTGACCACCTATAAATATTTAGGTTTTACAATTGATGAAAATCTTTTTTTTAATTTCACATTGGTTATCTTTTAAGGTGATTGAAATTATTATTAACATTGGGCTTATTTTTAGGAATAAATCCTACTTTTTCTTCAATGTTAGGAAATTGGTACTTTCTGCCACCTTCTTGCCTCTACTGGACTATGGGGGTGATTAACCTAGGACATTTTGTTTTTATTATGTAATCGGGTCTTGCAGTATGTAGGATTTAAAATTTAACTTACATTTTTGCACTATTTTGTCTCTGTACTAAATGCTGTTTCTGTCTCTGAAACTTTGTGGTATATTGTTGCTGTGTTTTGACCAGGTATCTCTACATATTCGTGAGACCCTATATCTCAATGGGATAACCTGTCTAAATAAAGGTTAAATGAAACAATTAAAAAGATGGCGTAACATGTTGGTGTGTTTGTTTGTTTTCCAGTTGATGCTGATCATCGGTCTCGCTCATGCCCTGGTGGTGTTTCGAGTGGTGGCTGCCCCCTTGATGTCTGAGGGCAGCTGGGAGTTTTTCAAGGACCATGCCAACACTGTGGCTGTGATGCTGGGAGCTGTGCTACACTACCTCACCATTCAGATCATGACCCGGGTATGTATACCTGTATCCTGATCCTCATACTACATTCTCACAGAATGGGAAGAATAGGAAAAACACCCATTATTTCATCTTGGGAGTGATCATGCAATTCCATGGTGTTTAGCCTTAATGCGGACCTTGTGCTCATACCAGATAAACAGCCTAAATTACCTTCTTCAGTGGTGTTGCGTATATGGAGCAGTTTGAGTGACTTTGACAGGGGCATGTTTGCGGAGCAGATGCTGCAACAATACGCTTCCATCATAATCAATGCAACTGGCTACTCACAAAAGCAGCATGCTTCTTTAGTCCAGGTGGGAGAGGGCAGTGCGGAGGAATAGGACGATGGTGGATCCTGGTGGAGCCTCCTACCATGGTCCTGCTTGACTGCCATTGATGATATCACTGATATTAGTGTGCTTAGTTGCTACGGTTACTGTTGTTGCTGTTGTCGCTGCTCGTTGTCCCCCATCGTTGCTGTTGTCGTCGTCATCATCTTCTTCATGTTCATCACCAGTCACTACT